CACTGATTGGCATATCAAAGATAGCCTAATCCGACACCTAGTGCAGTATCATAATCGAGTCTAGGGGTCAGGTGTAACTTTCCAGTTTTGCCCATTAATCTTCAAGGTCCAGGGCAATACTGGAAATCTGGTCCGGTTCAAAGATTTAATTAATCCTACACTGCATGTGCCTTAGGTCTCACCCCGGCGGCTGAGACAGGCCACCCCAACCGACTTGGTAGCACATCAGTGTTAGCCTTATCAGGATAGGTCTCCCCAGACTGACCCACCGGCTATGAACATTCCAAACTAACACGAGTCTCATTAAGTGTTTAGTTTACGGGTATAATACAGAAACAAACCACAAGAACATGAAACAAATATACACTTTGTTGATTTACAATAAACGTCAAAAGTACATCATTCTGATTGGAGCTAAGGGCATACAAAGACTGTCTAACAGCATGCTCCTCAGGTTCAACACTGGGAAGCCATTAATAGGATACTTGCATATTTGAAGAAACATCCATGCAGATGTATTTTATTCTTGATCATGAGAATTTGAAGCTGGAATCCTATACTGATGCAAATTTGGTAGGATGTCTAGATGACAAGAGATCTACATCAGGGTTATGTACATTTGTAGAAGGAAATCTAGTCTTATACAAAAGCAAAAAAAACAATCAGTGGTTGCAAGGTCAAGTGTAGAAGCCGAATATAGATCTATGGCCCATAGTGTCTCAGAATCAGTTTAGGTTAGATCCTTGTTGAACGAGATTGGGATAGATGCAGAGGAGCCCATGATGTTGTATTGTGATAATCAAGCTGCAATCAATATTGTCCATTATCTAATTTAGCATGACAGGACAAAGCACATTGAAGTTGATAGACACTTCATAAGAGAAAGGGTGACAACCAGAGAAGTTTGCCTACTATATATCTCCTCTGAGTTACAGTTGGCTGGTGCCTTCACCAAAGGGATTGCAAAAAAGAACAAGTTTGAACATGATCTACGCAAATTGGGAATGTGTGGCATTTACTCCCAACTTATGGGAGAGTGTTGAGGATTTTGTGCAGATTTATGAGTTAATTTTATTGATTATTTGTTTAGATAGGTAGTGGGGATCACAACACAATTGTTGGGACCCTTTGGAGTCTTTTAGAACACATCTTTTAAGTTCTTTATTGAGTTTTATTTTCAAACGCCATATAAGGGCATATTTGTCATTGTACTTGTTTTTACCTTAAGTATAAACAATAATGAGAGGGGTGTCTAGAACTGATTGCTCTCTCATTCTTTTCTCTGTTCTTCTTGTTCTTCTTTCTCTCAAGAACACTTCCTTTCTTCATCTTTTTTATAGGTTTTTTGTTTTTGTAGATTACTACTCCTTGGTTTGAATTTGTTATTACAATGAATTATAGCAACAGGAGTGACAGGGGACAAGGTTGGGGATGATGCAGAGAAGGGGCAAGATAGAGAGAAAAGAAGTGGATAAAAAGAGATAGAGAATGAGAGAAATATAAGAAATGATGGAGAACCACCACTATTGGAAGTTGCAACAATAGGTAGGATTAGAGGATGGTGAAACTGAGGAAGAAGAAGAAGAAAAAGAAGGGGGGGGGGGGGGGGGGGAGAGAGAGAGAGAGAAGTTTCCACCGATTTTTGAGAAGATGGAGTTTTACATCGATGTTATCGGTGGCGACTTTCCACTGATTTTTGATGTAAAACTTGCCCAGAGTGGAGGTTTACACTCATTTGTGATGTAAAACCACATCCCATCCAAACACTAGCAAAATCAGACTGGAGTGTAAAATTTACCCCAGTTCTCTATTTACACCTCAAACAAACGTGACCTTGATGTTTTCAATATTTTGTTGGATTTTAGTAGACACATTTATATTCAATGGAACAAAAACATACGTAATCTCTCTTATTATTATTTTTTGTTAATAAAAACCGTTGCATATGAGTTATATATGCTCATTTTTTTCACAAAATTCTTTCAACCACAACACACATTACATGGTGTGGTGAATTTCAGCAAAATGTGATTTAAAATCACATCATGGTGGGGCCTATAATTTAAAATAGATCACACCCATTAAGATCATGGCACAAAAAACCTACATTGGTGAACTCTTGGACTATAAGCTTGTTTTTTTTTTTATCTTCTAGAATTTGTGTTTGGATTAGTCGAAGCATTCCTTTAGACCATTGCATAATTCAATGTAAAAAAAAAAGGAAAAAATGCTTAAACCTTTCCTATGATTTTTGACAATTACTTAGACCTCCCCCATATTTTGACCCTTGTAAAAATCTAATTTCACGTTTCAAATAAATATGCAAATACACAACTTCCATGAATGGTCTTGATAGCAAACATTGATGTTATGTTTTAAAATCTCATTTTTGTCCATGAAAAACCTTTACTGGAATAAAGATTTGTTGAATAACCCCAAGAAAGGTGATTCACTTTTGTTTTAGTGGGTTTTATTGCTCAACTCATCAAATGAATGATAGACATCCTTTGTAAGCAAAAAGTGTCATGTTTAAGCAATTTAAATAGAGAGCAACCATGTTTTTTTATTTTTATTTTTATTATACACATTCATAACAATGAGGACACGATCATGATTTCAATGTCTCCATTACATGGTATTAAGCACAAGGGGTGCATTTGCATATTTAATTGAAGGCCTGTTTGGGAGGGCTTAGGCTTTGATTAAGTTGCTTTGCAAAAGTTGATTTATCGGCTGAATGAAATCAAAAGTTATCAAAGGTTTTTCACAAAACTAGAAGCTGCTGTGTTTTAAGTATTATTGTGAGAAAACAGAGGGGGTGGGGGGAGCACAATGTAATTTTCTTTAAAAAAAAGAGTGGTGATCCAATGAGTGTGATCTTTGAATATGTAAAACGTATTTGTTTTTAATTGGGCCGAAAATTGAATAAAAATGATAAAGCAACTAACTAACGCTCATTGACAACAAAAATGTTGTAATTATTTTCTTGCTAGAATATTGCATCCAATTCGTGATAATTGCTTTGAGCGCTCATGATTACAGGCGCTCTGTTGGAGTTAGCACTCAATTACAAAAGCTCACAAATTTTTGTTGTCCTATTTCGATTCGACCCAATGAGTTATGAACACGGAAGGGTGATTCTGACTTTCTCGGTGAGAAAACGCTCATGGAATCATCACTCCAATAAACAAGCGGATGGACGCTCGTAGAGCAGCAGAATCTTAACATAATTGAATTAATTAACAAAAAAATGAACAGAGAATGGGGTGAGATGGTGAGAGGGTGGTGTTTCAACTTCTGGTATTGTTACAGGACGAGGACCAGAAAGAGATAGGGACCCTTGTGGTAGAAAAGGAAAAAAATTAATAATAAAAATAAAGAACAGAAAAAGAAAAAGAAAAGAAATCGGATGCCATGCACCTTCTGCGCATTTTGCAAACCCTGCAGCGCCATTGCCCAATTCAATAAGGCAGGTCCAGACTCCAGATTTATCATTTTTTTTTGTTTTCTCTCTAGAATAAAACTTGTCCGAGAGAAGGAGAAGGAGAAGAAGAAGAAGGGTTTGAGCCTCTTTTATATGTAACCCTTCAAATCCAATCGACCATTTGTAGGATGTGCTCTTGAAATTTCAGGAGGGATTTCGCTGGTCTTCTCGCTAGCGCGGTAAATATGCTTCTCTTTGTTTTAATTGAAGTTTCTGCTGTTTCAATTCACGACCGTCTGCTTGTCCTGTTTGTTGATTCAATATCTGAAAACTTCAGTTCGTTTCGGCTGCTAACCTTTGCTTTCGTGTAATTTTCTTTGGTATCTGAGTGAGGAGATTGATCTGTTGGTTCTCTTGATCTGATTCTCTTTAAACAACGCCTATAAGGATGGGGGGCTTTGGGATCAGAAGAGTACCCCCCTCTCAAGACGTATGCTTCTCTCAAATTGTTTGATGTTGTTGTTTTGATGCTTCCGTGAATTCTGAATTTCCGTTTTACTTTTTTTTTGGTTGTAATTTGTTGATCTTTTCTTTCTGGACGATATTCTGTCAATGCTAATTCTGAGGGACCTTATTGTTATTTAATCCCTTTCTGCAATTTCCGTGTATAATTTCCCTCTTATATGTTTAGGGGCTGTGGAAAAGGGTGGGATTTGGATATGTACCATGAGTTTGCTTACGGGAAGTTAATGCATTTTTTTATTTTTTATTTTTGAAGAAGGTAAAGTATATTCATTCAATCAAAAAGAGAACCCATGTGCACCAAGGATCTGTACAATGGGAATTTACATGAAGACCTTTGGTTTACAAAAAGAGATTATTCATAATAAAAAAAAATTATAAACAGTCTATGCACACCAACCTAAGACAAAATTCTCCCCTTAGAATAGCTTTTAGCTTATCTTCAGATTCGAACTTATTTAAAATTCTTGAATTTCTCTCTGATCAAATAATCCACATTACAGCATTAACAGTGGTCTTCCACACAATATAGCCTTCTTTACTCAATCCTTTCAGTTGTCAGCTCCTGAAAAAATTAATGACAGATTTTGGATTGCAGTCATTCATTCCAAACAGCTTTTTATCCCATACCAACAGTACTTCTCAAGAGGAATGCCCCCTCCTCCGAAAAAGAAAAGCATGAACAGCCTGGACAAAGTATACAACTTATGCAATGTAGAAAATCTCATTAAAATTTGTTCTTCAAAGGCACAATCCCAATCTAGCACATTGGCTACTGAGTATGCTGACCATGCAATCCAATTGCATGAGATATTTATCCCCTTCTCGTATGCTGTCTAAATCTTTATGAATCATCACAATCATCCCCTATCCATCTGATGACCACTTGAGAGTCTCCATTCACCTCAATCTCTTCAAATCTCGCTGTCCATTGACTTCATCAATCTTAGGCTTTAGAGACATACCATAATCTTCACTCTGGAAGAGCTTTTGATTAGGCTCGTGGTACTACTACATTGATGTTCCTATCAACAGCACCAAAAAGATGACCAGGGAGAAGCCATCAAAATTTAGTTTAATAGTGTTATGGGCAGAACAAAATTTGCAAAACCTTTATTCTTGGATGGGTAAACCCCTAACGATCTCTCCACGGAAATTTCTTTTGAATTCTTCTAGCATCAGTTGAAGGATCTTAGGGTATTAGTGTAATCATGACACATATCTGGGGATGATATTGTAATTTCTGGGTAATATTTGTAATTCTGGATTTATGTGGGGTCTACATCTCATTTCTGATTATCTTGTTTTCGAGGATTGTATAAGTCATTTTTTGCATTTGATCAAATAAGAGAAATGAGCTTACCATGAGATAGAATGGGTGTATGTTGGAAATTGGTTATAGTTCCAAAATCTCCTTTTTACCATCTTGTACGGTAGCCTCTTTGTCCTGTGGATGTAGGCTATCAAACTGAACCATGTAAATCTTGTGTTCCTTTAACCCATTATTTTTTCATTCTGATTTTTGTATTTTGATGTTATAGCTCCTTCACTTCTCAAGTAACATGACTATCTTGATTAGCCTAGGTTGAGATAGTATCACAGTCAATGGTTAAAGGGGTTCAAGTCTGACTCAGTCTTGGTTAGTGATTGATCAAATTTATGACAAAGTTTCCCATACTAGGCATATGTGTTTATGTTGTTTGTTGTCAGCAAGCTGGTGATATGTGAGTTTGCACTCATTTCCATGGGTTGTTTCTGTATGTTGTTGTGAGAATATGTTTTGAGGGAATAGTGTTCTACCTCAAGTGTATTGCTACTGTTGTATTTGGTGGCTGCTATTCTCTTTGGACTATAATGTCAGTATGTGAATTGAAGATGTTTGTGGAAATACTTGTTCATGTCTGGGCAAGGTTTTAGCTAGTCAGTTGTAGCTGTTCGAAGAAATGCCCATCGTTTCTGTAATCCAACTTTGTGATCTAAGTTAAAAAAAATGTCTCTCAATTATCCAGCTGTTGATTTATGATGTGACTTAAATCAACAACCCAAATTTGATGTGAAATGATTTTTTTTTTTGATAAGCAACAGAAATATTCATTCTTTAATGAAAGAAAATCCATCCTGCTTCCAAGCAGCAGCAGACCAGGAATACACAACTAACTCCAAACTTGGAGCATAAGTCAAATGAGCAGAGAATTACAAGTAGATATCAAATGTTTGCTTTTTTACATACTGCTCCCTGGCCCAGGGCATCCCCAATCTAATTGATTTTTTGGCACCTCAGCCCTTGATAAAGAATCTGCTAGTTCATTGACACTCCTAGGCACCCAGTTGAATGAGCTATTCAAAGTGGCGGCCATAAATTGTGCCTGTCTCGCCATTGGCCTAAACTCCCAAGGGATTATGTTTTGTGATCTCACCCAACATATTATAGTTTGCCAGTCTCCTTCCACCTCTACTTCCCTCACACCCTGTGCAATTATCAATTTTAAACCCTGAAGATGAGCATGCAGTTCAGCTGTAAGAGAGTTACCTAAAGGTCCAAAACCTATAGGACCAGAAAATCCAAGTAGAAATGTAGAATCTGCCCATCGTGGTCGGTGGTCCTGAATTATTCCCCAAAGTGCCTGAATCTCCAGGGTTCCCGAGACTGCATCCATCAAAGTTGAATTTACTCTTGCCCACTACTGGTGTACACCACCTGACTATCCTTTCAGGTTTTCTGATTTCGAAAATCTGCAACAGCTTTCCATTCTCTTCAAAGATCATTTAGAGTGATGCCTCTGAAACCTTCATAAATCAAAGCCCAATGAGCTACTCTTATCATGGTGAGCTCAATCACCTCCTCCACTTTACTCTCCTTTTCCTTGAACAATCTAGCATTTCTTTCATTCCACAACCCCCATAAAACAGCCCATGAGAGCATTGCCATAAATTCTTTTTGTCTCTTTGTTGTGCATCTTAGGCTATTAGAGCTGAAAAGATCCTTGACTTCTATTGATACCATCTACATGTATACAAAGAGAAAAAGATACCTGGGCAGCAAAGGCACAATGCAACAGAATGTATTTGGTGCTTTCCCCCCTCTTCAAACAGAGGACACACACATGAGGAGAGAGACACCAGTTCTTCCGCTTCCTTTGGAGTCTATCCAAGGTGTTAATAACTTGACTAGCCCCTTCCCAACCAAAAATCTTTATTTTGGGAGGGATAGGGTCACCCCACAACTCTTTTACTGTGAACAGGTTTGTGTCACTGGGTTAAGGGTGCAAAAAAAAGAAGCACAAGTAAAAATACCATTAACATTGGGTGTCTACACTCTCCCATCTACTCTAGGACATAAATTCACCTCTTGAACTGTATTCAGTAAGGTGGTCATCTCACTCATTTCTAGATCCCTCAAAGCTTTCCTCAATCCCAAGTTCAACACTAACCCACTCCCATCAAAGGACACCAACTCAACAATAGGTTTATTTTTGAAGATAGAAATGTTGTAGATTTTGGGAAGTGTTTGGAGAAAGGTGGAATTTCCCCACCAAATATCTTCCCAAAACTTCACCTTAGAGCCGGAGATGGCATCTACCTTATGTTGCATGAAGGTGGGGAGGATGGTCAAAATTGCTTTCCAAGGGCTCCTCAATGTAGTACTCTAGCAAGGCCTGTGTCCCACCCATTTGAGTGTAGCCCATGGGTGTTTTTGATTACTAAATGCCACGATTTTCCTCCTTCTGAAGGAACCTCCACAACTATTTATCCAATATAGCCAATTTTTTTTCATAACCCTCCCAATTCCTAAACCACCCCCTCTTTAACTTTACACGCCTCCTCCCAATTCATGAGACGATCCTTTTCATCACTTCCCAGGTCCAACAAAAAGTCCCTAAGGCTGTGTTTGGTTGCAGTGCAATTTTATTTGCACTAGGTCCAACAAAATTAAACCAGAAGTTTCTCATGATCTTTGAGATTCTAGATGACGCCATATTTTTCTCAGCACAAAACATGTGGTATTTGTCCACACTCTTGGCTAGGTGTGCTTGTGGTTCGGTTAACTGGACCGTGGGCTATCTTTTGAAATTGAACCGGTCCTACCAGTTTTTGCAATTCTCTAAGCTGAAACTGAACCAGTACCACCGGTTAACTGGTTTCAGTTTTTAAGTAGTTCGGTTCTTTGTTTTTTTTGGTTTTCTATATTTATAACATATATTATATTACAAATAATAATGATATATAATATATTATATATTATAAATAGATCATTATAAATATAATATATGTATATATTTACATATATAATGCACATATATTTATATATAATATAGATAATTTGTGCCATATATAATATACATATAAATAGATATACTGGTTGGTTCGGTTTTGTTTTTCAGGTTTTTATGAGAACTCCTACTCTTGGACAAATAGAGGAGAACAAGAATAATCTCAGAAGTGTCCAGAAATAGTTGACCCTCACCTCAAAGAGTCTCTTATGTATTAAAAGATATGTACAGTTACAAGAATCAAGAATGCCCATCTAGGGCTGAAAGAGAAAAAAGAATACAAGTAGTGTAGTGTACAACAAGGACTATACTAATAAGATACATCAAGTCACAGAATCTCCATGGTATTAAAGTCTTCAGCAACACAACGTTCCCCATCACACACTCTACTTATGTTGTACAATTCCACTTCCACTCAAAGATTCTCCCTTTCTCTACATGAAGTAGGACCCATACACATTAGTTAACCATCATTCAAAATCATCTCCTTTATCTTTGAACTTCATTGTCACTAAATAAGTTCCTACAATTTCTTCCATACAATCTCTCTTATTATCCTCCCACACAATCAAATCTCCCTCTGATGAACCCATTGCAGGTAAATAAACCCACTTCTTTTTCCTTCCCCCAAACACTTCTCTTTTTTCTTTTTTGATCAGCAATAGAGAAAAGATTTCATTAAATAGAGGAAATATAG